TGGTGTTTGTGCAAATATACACACAACCCTATAGTTTATTATTAAGTGTGGATTAACAAAAAAAATATAAAGGTATATAAACGGTTCCATGTAATAAATTGAACATTACCTAACCTATAGACGGCTCGGCCACTAAAGTTTGAGAGAACCAGTGTAATACTAGACTTCATACATCGGAATCCATAAACCAAATTAGTGTTGAGCCACCTCGAGTGTAGACACAGACAACATGTTGATAATAGAGATAATAACCTACAAAGGTTTCAAAATAATTTTCATCCTTGTGATATAAATATTCGTCCAATAATTTAAGTCATAGAGTGTAACATGAGTAAATGGTTTTAAGGCTTGACCAATCCTATTGAGCCAAGCCCCAAAAGTTTTTGAAATACTATTAGGTCCCAATGTGTGTTTTCTGTCGACTGGTTGAGATGATAAATCACTTATTCTTCGAGTGCAAAATTACACGTTCTATTTGGTCAGCTATCCATATGGCTTCCAACATTTATCCACCACGATCCGTTGCAAACATCTGTGGCAATTGGTTACATGGGATTGATCACAAATTCAGAACTATTATTAGAGTGCGATCGGTAGCCGTTATCTGGTCGTTATGGCTTGGTAGAAATGAAAAGGTTTTTAATGATAACAAATATTCTCTTTTGCTGGTAGTCTACCGGTGCAAAAGTTTTTTCTGTTCGTGGTCCACATTACTACGTGTGGAATATCGAGACCTTTTTATGCAGGCGTGTGCACGACTGGAGTGAACGACGAGGGATATTTTTATCCAACATGGATGGACACTTGATATTCGGATTGGTCCACCTTAGGCCTAGGCGTTTTTACAGATGTTTGCTTGTAATTTGTGAGTTGCTTCCAATTTCTTTTTTACTCTTTGGATTGCTGCTATGGGCATCTTCGCTATGTGAAAGCCGGGTGTACTGCTTAAACCTTTTAAGTAATAATGCCCTTTATATAAAAAATCCCAATGACGTGGTGGTCAGCTTAATATAAGTCAAAACATTCATGTCTCACATTGCACAACAAGCCAAAATGGTGGACAAAATAGTCTATCAGGTTACCCTATTCAACAGAAAGCAGTCATCACAAGGAGCTGCATGAATAAATGATAACATGGACGATCGTACGCTAGCAGCCGTAAGCGGGTACTTCGTCTTCTCATGCAATAATGGATTAAATGAATCTGTGCAAACTAAGGCACTGACGACATGTAAATTATGACAGTTTGAATACGAGGTTAGTTGGTTCCATGGCCTAGCCTAGTAAATACTTATCAAGATTGAATAGAAGCAACGACAATTTTTAAGATTTGGACTTCTCAACATTGGCAATGGAGAAAAGGCCCGATTATGCATAGACATTTGGCTAGGAAACAAACCCTTCAATGCTCATTACTCATTTCTTGACAATTTTCGCGTCAATCCAATGACTCGGTGACCTAGGTCCTTGGACAAATCCACAAGGTGATCAAGTTCCCGAGGTCCATAATCAAAGGTAGCGTGTTACTTTCTTGACTTTCACGGGTACATATGTGATAATAGACTATAGGATTAAATACTTGTTTTTGGAAACGGGGCAAGAACTCTGCCTGTTCATCGGTAAAGAAGAAAAACAGATGCCGAAGCCCATAATAACAGGCGATTACATCACAGCAAAAGAAACCAAACCACACAACATGGGGGCAGGCCCCCGCGGATGCAATCAGGGGACGAGCTCGGCAAAGTGCTTCGCGCCCTCGGCAATCCAGGCCATGCCTTCCGCTTTGATCCTGCCTATTAGGATATATAGACGGCATCGAGTACTTTTTATTGAACAGTCAGGCATTCTGCTCCTTCCGAATTTTCTAGCAGACAAAGGAGGTTGCCTACCTGAGCCCTGTAGGCGAGAAGCCGGCGAGCTTGGGAAAATGCTCCGAAAGGATTATCAAAGAGCCTGGCTCGCACGTCAGTGACAGCACTGACACTATAGCTTTCTTTTTTTTAAAAAAAGAAAAGGGGATATACCACGGCCTCTGCATTTGGGCGATGCATACATCCATTTTATTAATTATTCACAATGATCTTATAAAGTAATACATCAGTAAGTCTGAAGCCACCATCTTGGCAACACCTGTCGCTACTTCTATCCCCTTGATGAAGGGTGCCGAATGTCCGGGCCTAATACCAAACAAACATCGCACCAAACCCTAACATCTAAACCGAATGCCCTAGCCCAGCCACAATACCGGGACGCACCAAAGCCTAACGTCTAAACCGAATGCCCTAGCCCAGCCACAATACCGGGACTAGGTCACACATCGGTCTGGCGCACTCTCAGAGACCGCCGCCGCTAGCTTCCACCGATCCATCTCCAGAGCAGGTACTGACGCACCAACCTTGCCAGGCCTACCGTAAACCCCACCATCCTGCACGTATCCATCCTCATGCGCCCATCGCCGAAACTCCGCAATGCCATTGCCACCGGGATCCGTCGTCGACCTTGCGGTAGATGTAACATCGCTCCTCCTCTTGCCCCCTCCAGCCAGCTTCTGCTCCAAAACAATGCCCCCAGAAGGGACAACAACACTGAAGGCGTTGTCATCGTCTGATCCGGTAGACCCAGATCTAGGGTTTCCCCTGGAACATCTTGAACATGTTGACGCAACTTGCAACGACGATGACTCTACAGGGGAATGACGTCGGAGACGTCGTCATCATCCGCCATGACCGAAGTCGACGCAATTTTCATCGGAAGTAACGCCACCACGATCTTGCCGCTGACTGGATCAGAGCACACCCTTGCCACGTAGACGTAGGTGTCGTCGGAAAGCCGGTTGAGGACCTCAGGCCGCCCCACCCCGGCTCCATCATGCGCTGTCGGCCGGCCATAGTTGAACTGCGACGGATTTGGCCGGGATGCCAGATCCACGGCCACCGCCGCCGCCCATCGGACAGCGGAGATCCCACGGAAGCACCTCGCCAAACATGGTACGCTGGCTGCCACCGTGGCTGCCGCTCGAAGACACCCATATGAGGCGCCCCAGCTGCCTCATGGGAGATCCGGCGCAACCCTCCTGCCCTATCCCTTTTGGCGTCGAGCGCCGCAACCACCGTGGCCAGTGCCGGCGGCAGGGATCTGCCTCGCGGGAGGGCTGACGGCGTGAAGCCCTGGGTGGCGGCGCAAGGGGGTCGGGTGCGAGGGAGTCCACCAACACTATAGCTGATGAGTAAATAAGAAACAGTACGTATTCATTCATAAAGGTCGCGTGTATTGATAAGTCAGCATGGTTTGATTGTCAAGGCTGGCTGCGGATTATTCATTATTACGGATCACAATAATAAGTATGGTCTTTTCTTCAGAAGTCGCCGTGATGAGATGATCACATAAATTAATTGTAAGGATTAGCTGACTTGTTGTACTTACTTGCATATGCGGACAAGGATTGAGCTACGAGCTTGGTTACTTACTACTTAATTATATTTGCTCATCACTGTTCAGGATTCGTTTACACTTGAACTTACTTGGGGACGGGATCTACCTCAAGTACTCAACCATACTATAATTCTTTCAGGAGAACTTTAGCTAGCTGGGCGTACTTGAGTATTAGCTTACTACTAGTGTCTCTCTCGTTCTAATTTTTCGATAAAAGGCGCTTTTATTAACTTAAAATATAGCATCAAGCGGATACAAAACATGATGAATAACACCCAGTCTCTACATAGCAAAGATGTGCAGAGCCGAACATCAGAAGTCTGACAAATATTGAAAATAAACGAGAAAACGACATATCGGCAACAGTAGATTCATATAGGACCAACATTCTGACTATGTCGGAGAAGATGGTGGACCGATCCGAAGATTATGCTGCCACCCATGTTGAAAAAAAAACCTCCTCGACCACCCGCTCCAACCGCGTACACACCGTCTTGAACAGCGGTTGGTACTCCATTCGTTGTAGCGTAGACAACATACTAAGCGAGTGCGTACAGCGGAAAATAACCTGCAAAGCAGACGACTTTATGTTATTGAAAACCAAATTATTTCTACCTAGTCCAAGCAACCCTAATAAGGCAAACGCTCCAACCCTCAATAATGTTTTTAACCTATTTGAAATACGGTCCAACCAATGACCAAAAATATTGACAACACTTGTGGGCGGATTAGACATTATTTAGATGATTAACCATATAGAACGCGCAAACTTGCACTGAAAAAAGATGTGTTATACTGTTTCATCGTGAGTACAAAAGCTACACTTCTTACTTCCTTGCCAATTGCGACGGGCAAGGTTGTCTTTGGTTAGCATAACTCCCCTCCGAAGATACCACATGAAGATTTTAACTTTCAGTGAAATCTTCAACTTCCAAATTTTCTTGTTATTATCCACTGAGACCTCTGAATGCGTGAGCGCATGCTACATAGAGTCGACTGTGTGGGACCCAGATGTAGTCAGGTTTCAGCGGAACACATCCCGTCCTTGTGTCAGGTTAATCGAATCTAATCTGGACAAAAAAATTGCCATGACATAAGACGGGGGCGATCAAATCCGGCCTGAAAGAAATATTTGGTGGGCATGAACTGGCCGCTGACGCAGATGTACGTGGCAATGACGAAGACTGCATGTAAGAACTTAGTAGCCGCGCATCTATTTCATGTTTGAACTGCGGTTGATGTATGTAAGAACTTAGTAGCTGGGCACTTGCAGTTGATGCATGCAGCGAAAAAGAAAAACTTCCTTCTGAGCAGATGCCTCCAAAACACGAGCAGCCATCAGGTGTGTTAGCTAGTATGCATGCGTGAACATGAACAGCCGCTGATTTTACTTTGAAGGTGCGTGCCGATTTTACATGGTCATCGTACCATCAGGCACCTTTGGTGAAGAATAAACAGGTGGTACGTAAACCTTATTCTGAACATAAACAGGTTGAAGAAAACACAAGAGAAGGGCAGATGATAGTAGACGATAATGCATATCATTTAGGCCATGTATGCATGGCCCTCTAGGGCAACTTGCGCGGAGTGACGCGCACACGCAGCGGCTTCTTCATCACGTTGTTGAAATCGCCCACCTCCGTCAGGTCCACGCCGCTGCTGGGCGGCACCAGCTCAAAGTTGCGCAGGAGCGCCACCAGGAAGAACTTGGCCTGCAGAATCGCCAGATTGGAGCCGGGGCAGAACCTCCTCCCGCCTCCGAACGGCATCATCCTGATCTCGTTCCGCCCCGGCATGTGGCCGACGTCCTCCGCCTCGCCGCCCGGCAGGAACCGCTCCGGCTTGAACTGGCCGGGCTCCGTCCACGCGCTCCCGTGCCTCCCGATTTCACGCACCATGAAGATGAGCCTCTTTCTCAGCCTGCCGGTGGCGACGTCGTGGACTCCACGCGTGACGAAAGGCGACGGTGGGTGGATGCGCACGCTCTCGAGCACGACGGCGCGCAGGTACGGCATGTCGCGGATGGCCTTCTCGGAGAGCTCGGCCTCACCACCACCAGCTGCCACCGCCTCGTCGATCTCGCACCGCAGCTTCCTCTGCACCTCCGGCAGGATGACGAGGTTCGCGAGTGTCCACTCGATGCACGCCACGATCACCCCCGTGTTGGTGGCCAGGAACTCCGCCACTAGGCCCAGGATCTCGTCGTCGGTGAGCGCACGCTTGGCGTCGACGACGTCAACGTCGGGGTTCGGCACGCGGAGCTCCACGAGTGAGTCTACGTACGAGTCGCCGCTCTTCCTTGCCCGTGCTGCTGCGATGAGCGGGCGCACCACCTCAAACAGCGGGCCGAACAGGCCGAAGAGCCGGCGCAGCCTCCTCCAGTGCGTGATCTTGCCCAGTGTCGAGCCGTCGAAGGAGACCGTGTCGTCCATGGCCTGCGAGAGGTCGTCCATCGCGCGCTGCATGGCGCGCACGCCGCTCTCTTCCAGACCATGGTCGCCGCCGAAGCACAGCCGCGCGGCCAGCGTAAACATGGCGCGGTCGAGGTGTTCCCGCATGACCACCTCCTCTCCGCCGGCTTGTGACAGGCCGGTGACAAGGTCTTGGATGGCATCCGCCCGCAGCGGAGCAACGGCGGCGAGGTGCGTGGGGTTGAGGAAGCCCGCGGTGAGGTTGGACCGGAGTGATCGCCAGTGCGAGCCGTAGGTCACGGTCGCCAAGGTCTCGTTCCGTTCAGGGCCACGAGTCCAGGTCGCCAGAGCCGTGAGAAGGCCAGCTGACGGCCGGTTCATGAAAGCGTCGGCGTGCTCGTTAAGGAGGCTGTGGGCAACGGCAGGGTCCCTGATCAGCTGGACCGCAGGACTGGTGCTTCGCCAGAGGACGGCTAGGCAGAAGAGCACAGCGGCTACGAGTGCTAAAACCTCAATGGTTTCCATTGTGCTTTGTGTTCTAAGCTGTTAATTTGTGATCTTTCCAGCGCCACCACCCCGCAACCATATATACTAGTGCTAGTAGTCGAACCAACACATACGTACTGATCTCCTGATTAGTAGTATGACTTTGAAAAGCTCGGATTTGCCCCACAAAACAGAGGGGGTCAAAGAGCGTTTATAGACCGGGCCGGCTACATGTAGTTTTGTTTAATAAAATTTAAAACGACATTAAAAGTTTCAAAAAATCTGAAAGAACTTCTAGATGTAGGAAATGATGTATTATATTTGAAATCCAATTTCAGATTTTTCATTTTTGTGTGGCTCAAAATACAAGGTGGTTCGAGTTGAGCTTTTGCATGATGATGGAATACATCATTATGAACATCTAGAAAAAAATTCAGAATTTTTTAAATTTAATGTCGTTTCCAAAATTTTGAAAAATGGACTACATGTAGCGCCAGATGCATTTGGCTTCTTGGGGGCACATTACAACGTCAGGAGCAGTTTTTCTGGCTCACCAAGGGGACGGCTCTGGTCAAACTCTAGCTGCCGCCCCATCTCCCCTCTCCCACACCCACCTTGTGCCGAAGGGCAAAGACTATTCGACGACGGTGGGCTCTCTTCCCGTCCTGCCAAGCGCGGGTGTCTCGTTTGGCTGACCTCGGAACCCAACGCGACGGACCCGAAATCTTTTGGTGGTGGCTTGGCTGCGGCTGCTGGGAGGGTTGCACACTAACTTGCACCCAACCACAGATCTGGACAGCAGCGTGGTGAATGGGGATATTATGGAGGGCTTCTCTTGCTTTTGGCGTGGTGAATGTCGTGGCTTAGGCTGGTCATAGTGAGGAGTTACTTACCCTTGTTACGCCGACGACGAGGCGCATGGCGGATTCAACCCCAACATCACCTTTCCGCATGGCCAGGGCACCTCACCCTCCGGTCTGAATCCCGACCAACGCATGCCCTCGCCCGCGTTCGCCGGCATCCAATACCCCGTACACCTAGCTACTCGCAGCCGGCGTACGCAGCCTCCCCGACGCCGCCTCTGCATCGTGGCACCCTGCCCTTCTCGCAAGCCTCGTCGTCACATTTCGGCAACCCTACGCGACGGAAGCCGACATGGACGAGATCATCACAAGTGGCTCAGTCGCCGCCGCCTCCTTCCCCGGGTTCCAGGCGCAAGACGATACAATGGACCTCACCGGCAACATGGACAACAAGCTTGACGACGGCGGGGAGGAGGAGTCGGCGCATGCGCCGATGAGGAAATGGAAAAAGAAGAAGCAGGGCGCCAGGACGGGCGAGCCGCGCTGTTGGGGAACATAGTAATTTCAAAAAAATTCCTACGCACACGCAAGATCATGGTGATGCATAGCAACGAGAGGGGAGAGTGTGTCTACGTACCCTCGTAGACCGAAAACGGAAGCGTTAGCACAACGCGGTTGATGTAGTCGTACGTCTTCACGATCCGACCGATCCAAGTACCGAGCGTATGGCACCTCCGAGTTCAGCACACGTTCAGCTCGATGACGTCCCACGAACTCCGATCCAGCAGAGCTTTGCGGGAGAGTTCCGTCAGCACGACGGCGTGGTGACGATGATGATGCTCTACCGACGCAGGGCTTCGCCTAAGCACCGCTATGATATTATCGAGGTGGAATATGGTGGAGGGGGGCACCTCACACGGCTAATAGATCTCAAGGATCAATTGTTGTGTGTAGAGGTGCCCCCTGCCCCCGTATATAAAGGAGCAAGGGGGGAGGCAGCCGGCCAAGGAGGAGGGCGCACCAAGGGGGGAGTCCTACTCCCACCGAGAGTAGGACTCCTCCTTTCCTTGTTGGAGTAGGAGAGAAGGAAAGAGGAGGAGAGGGAGAAGAAAAAGGGGGCTGCACCCCTTGTCCAATTCGAGCCAAAGGGGGGGGGGCGCAGGCCTCCTTCCTTTTGGCCTCTCCCCTCTATTCCCGTATGGCCCAATAAGGCCCATATACTTCCCGGCGAATTCCCGTAACTCTCGAGTGCTCCTCGCCAGCGCCTTATGCGCCGAAGAGGAAACCAACGCCCACGTGCCTGGCTAAGTGGGCCGGCCCATGAACGAGGCGAAGAGCTCGTACGACGCCTGCTTCCCCAGCTATCCCGCTCGATCGTTTCGTTTATTCGAAAGAAAAAAACGAAAAAACGCTCGATCGTTTCATGGTAGACCGGTGAGCCATTGACCATTGACTTTTGAGATTTTTTCTCGAATTTTTTTAAAAAAAGTTCATCAAACTTTAAAAAAGTTCACGAATTACAAAAAAGTTCACCGATTTTGATAAAAGGTTCATGAATTTAGAAAAAAAAGTTCAAAAAATTTTGGAAAAAGTTCACGAAATTTAGAAAAAGTTCATCGAATTTTGAAAAAGTTCACCTAATTTTGAAAAAAGTTCATCAATTTTAAAAAAAGTTCATCAATTTTGAAAAAGTTCATCGAATTTTGAAAGAAGTTCATCTCATTTGAAAAAAGTTCATCGGTTTTGAAAAAAGTTAATAGAATTTGAGAAATAGTTCATCCAATTTGGAATAAAGTTCATCAAATTTTAAAAAGATTCATCAAATTTGAAAAAAGTTCAATGCATTGACAAAAGTTGATCGATGTTAAGAAAAAGTTCACGAATTTCAAAATAAGTTCATCAATCCCAGGGAGAAGAAAAACAAAAAAGAAAAAACGAAAGAGAAAACCAGAAAAAGGAAAATAGAAGAAAAAAAGAACAAAGTAAAAGGCGTGGCAACATAAAATGTAGCACATCCAGATGGGGTGGCGGGGTGGTTATGCAGCTTAGTGTTAAGCAGGAGCTCTCGGGTTCGAATCAAAACACTACCAGATTTTTTTCGCGCGGGCGCATAAGGCGCCAAATAGGATTCAGCGTAACTCTCCGAGTCCTCCTCGTTGGCGCCTTATGCGCCGCTTTTGCATGCTGGCGCTCATGTCCCAGCTCACATGGGCCGGCCCATTTAGCTGGATCGATCCCTTCTTCGATAGCTCGACAAACTGAAAAATCGCTCGTTAGATTCAACAGACCCGTTGACCGTTCAATTCAGTAGACAGTTCAACTTTTGACCAATTCGCAGTTGACTGTGTTGACTTTTCAAAAAAACATTAATTTTGAAAAAGAATTCCTCAATTTGAAAAAAGTTCATCAAATATTGGAAAAAGTTCATGAAATTTGGAAAAATTTCATCGATTTGAAAAAAAATTCATCGATTTTGAAAGAAGTTCACCAATCTTGAAAAAAGTTCATCGGATTTAAAGAAAAAGTCCATCGAATTTGAAAAAAAGTTCACTGAATTTGAAAACAGTTCATGAAATTTGAATAAAAGTTCATTGAATTTGATAAAAGTTCATCGATTTTGAAGAAGGATTTCGCGAATTTGGAAAAGTTCATCGAACCTAGGAAGAAGAACAGGAAAAAAAGAAAATAAAAAAATAAAAAAATGAAAACAGAAGAAAAAAAGAAAGAACAAAAGAGATAAATATATGAAAGTTAGCATGTCTTGTTGGTGATGGCGGGGTGGTTACTACAGCTTAGTATTTAGCAGGACGTCCCTGGTTCGATTCTTGCTACCAGCAGACTTTTTTGCGGTCCGTCAGAGAGAATATCTAGATGGGCCGGTCCAGCGGTGAAGGGGGGGTATGCGCCCGTTTGTATTTGCTACTGTAGCGGGCGCTTAAGGCGCCGAATAGGAACCAACTAACTCTCCGGTACTCCGAAAAATACCTGAATCATCCGGAACCTTTCTGAAGTCCGAATATAGTCGTCCAATATATCGATCTTTACGTCTCGACTATTTCGAGACTCCTCGTCACGTCCCCGATCTCATTCGGGACTCCGAACTACCTTCGGTACATCAAAACACATAAACTCATAATATAACTGTAATCGAACTTTAAGCGTGCGGACCCTACGGGTTCGAGAACTATGTAGACATGACCGAGACACGTTTCCGGTCAATAACCAATAGCGGAACCTGGATGCTCATAGCAGACTTTTTTGCGGTCCGTCAGAGAGAATATCTAGATGGGCCGGTCCAGTGGTGAAGGGGGGGTATGCGCCCGTTTGTATTTGGTACTGTAGCGGGCGCTTAAGGCGCCGAATAGGAACCAACTAACTCTCCGGTACTCCGAAAAATACCCGAATCATCCGGAACCTTTCTGAAGTCCGAATATAGTCGTCCAATATATCGATCTTTACGTCTCGACTATTTCGAGACTCCTCGTCACGTCCCCGATCTCATCCGGGACTCCGAACTACCTTCGGTACATCAAAACACATAAACTCATAATATAACTGTAATCGAACTTTAAGCGTGCGGACCCTACGGGTTCGAGAACTATGTAGACATGACCGAGACACGTTTCCGGTCAATAACCAATAGCGAAACCTGGCACATATTCTACGAAGATCTTTATCGGTCAAACCGCATAACAACATACGTTGTTCCCTTTGTCATCGGTATGTTACATGCCCGAGATTCGATCGTCGGTATCTCAATACCTAGTTCAATCTCGTTACCGGCAAGTCTCTTTACTCGTTACATAATGCATCATCCCGTAACTAACTCATTAGCTACATTGCTTGCAAGGCTTATAGTGATGTGCATTACCGAGAGGGCCCAGAGATACCTCTCCAACAATCGGAGTGACAAATCCTAATCTCGAAATACGCCAACTCAACATGTACCTTCGGAGACACCTGTAGAGCTCCTTTATAATCACCCAGTTATGTTGTGACGTTTGGTAGCACACAAAGTGTTCCTCCGGTAAACGGGAGTTGCATAATCTCATAGTCATAGGAACATGTATAAGTCATGAAGAAAGCAATAGCAACATACTAAATGATCAAGTGCTAAGCTAACGGAATGGGTCAAGTCAATCACACCATTCTCTTAATGATGTGATCCCCTTAATCAAATGACAACACATGTCTATGGCTAGGAAACGTAACCATCTTTGATTCAACGAGCTAGTC